TGGCTTAGGTAGTTTCAAATTTAGGTTGGATAAATACATGAGTGAGAGGGGTTGGATTTGAGTCAGACTTGCACCTGAGCTTATTGCTTGGGTAGCATTTCTGTTAGTGGGTTGGATTTGTGAAGGACTGGCTTAGTATGGGCCAGCAGGCCAGATGCAGTGTTCCTCCTTTCTTATGTTCTTATTGGAGACTTGTTTGTGTGAGGGAGGGATGGCAAGTTTATTGTTGGAGAATATGACACTAATATCAACTCTACGGCTTATTTATCTATCACAATTCAACTAATATGACATAATAAACAATATTAATAACATAGAAACATGGAATATACTCTAGAATGAATAAAATAAGTCATTACGTACGTCACGAGAGGTGTTGTGTTGTGTTGTTTTGGGTATACAAGGGCCACTGAGATTAAGCTGTCCATAATGGTGGTGAAGCAGCAGCTGACGCCGTGGTGTTTTCTGTAGCCCTATATAACTCCAACAACATTGGAGGAGTTGGTAGAATCGCTGAATCACTAAAGAAGGAACCCTCTACCACCATTACTACGACCTTCTACCACTATTACAACTGTTACCACCATCACTACTACCTTCTACCACCATCACTACCACCATTAACCACTATCACCATCAACCACTATCACAACTGCTTCCACTCTACCACCACCACCTTTGTATCTTTCTACAAACTTTTCATAAATTATGTGTTTCTCACATTCTTTACCAAAGGGCTGGCACCAGAAGCTTTTTTTGGAGGCATGGTAGCTTATTTAGCATTTGCAAGCATTAAAATCAATGGAATATTATGAAATATTTCATAGGAGCATATGAGGGGACCGTCGCTCACTGGTAAACAATGGCACACTGGCTGGGAAGGCAGGCTCAGAGCGTGAGTACCCGTCCAGGACGAAGGACGATTAGCGAGTTAACGGACCATTTGCAAGCCAATGTTTAGATGAAATAACGGGACTATTTCCGAGATGGACGACTTTCAGACCGGATGATTATTGAGGGACCACTGTATTACCCTGCTCACACTCCAACAGATCGTCAGGTCCCAAATACCATTCGTCTCCATTCACTCCTATCGAACACGCTCATGCACGCCTGCTGGAAGTACAAGCCCCTCGCCCACAAAACCTCCCTTACCCCTTCCAACCTTTTTGAGGATGACCCCTACCCCTCTTTCCTTCTCCTACAGATTTAAATGCTCTCCATGTCATTCTACTTTGATCCATTCTCTCTAAATGACCAAACCACCTCAACAACCCCTCTTCAGCCCTCTGACTAATACTTTTATTAACTCCACACCTTCTCCTAATTTTCTGCATAATATTTACACCACACATTGCCCTTAGACAGGACATCTCCACTGCCTCCAACCACCTCCTCGCTGCTACATTCACAACCCAAGCTTCACACCCATTTAAGAGTGTTGGTACTACTATACTTAAATACATTCCCTTCTTTGCCTCCATAGGTAACGTTTTTTGACTCCACATATACCTCAACGCACCACTCAACTTTTTTCCCTCATCAATTCTATGATTAACCTCATCCTTCATAAATCCATCAGCCAACACGTCAACTCCCAAGTAGCTGAAAACATTCACTTCTTCTATACTCCTTCTCCCCAATTTGATATCCAATTTTTCTTTATCTGAATCATTTGATACCCTCATCACCTTACTCTTTTCTATGTTCACTTCCAACTTTCTCCACTAACCTATGCAATTTTTCTTTAGAATCTCCCATAAGCACAGTATCATCAGCAAAAAGTAACTGTGTCAATTCCCATTTTGAATTTGATTCCCCATAATTTAATCCCACCCCTCTCCCGAACTCCCTAGCATTTACTTCTTTTACAACCCCATCTATAAATATATTAAACAACCATGGTGGCATTACACATCCAAGTACAAGACCTACTTTTACCGGGAAGTAGTCTCCCTCTCTTCTACACACCCTAACCTGAGCCTCACTATCCTCATAAAAACTCTTTACAGCATTTAGTAACTTACCACCTATTCCATATACTTGCAACATCTGCCACATTGATCCCCTATCCACTCTATCATATGCCTTTTCTAAATCCGTAAATGCAATAAAAACTTCCCTACCTTTAACTAAATAATGTTCACATATATGTTTCACTTGATCTACACATCCCCTACCCACTCTGAAACCTCCTTGCTCATCTGCAATCCTACATTCTGTCTTACCTCTAATTCTTTCAATCATAACCCTACTGTACACTTTTCCTGGTATATTCAGTAAACTTATTCCTCTATAATTATTACAATCTCTTTTGTCCCCTTCCCTTTATATAAAGGGGCTATACATACTCTCTGCCAATCCCTAGGTACCTTCCCCTCTTTCATACATTTATTAAACAAAAGTACCAACCACTCCAACACTATATCCCCCCCTGCTTTCAACATTTCTGTCATGATCCCATCAGTTCCAGCTGCTTTACCCCCTTCCATTCTACGTAATGCCTCACATACCTCCCCCACACTTACATTCTGCTCTTCTTCACTCCTAAAAGTGGTATACCTCCCTGGCCAGTGCATAAAATTACCACCTCCCTTTCTTCCTCAACATTTAAGAGTTCCTCAAAATATTCTCGCCATCTACCTAATACCTCCCTCTCCCCATCTACTAACTCCCCTACTCTGTTTTTAACTGACAAATCCATACGTTCCCTAGGCTTATATCTCACCCGAACTTCCTCCTCCCTTAGTTTATACACTTTCACTTCCCTCCTACTTGTTGTTGCCACCTTCCTCTTGTCCCATCTACCTCTTACTCTAACTGCAGCTACAACTAAATACTAATGATCCAATACATCAGTTGCCCCTCTATAAACATGTACATCCTGGAGCCTACCCATCAACCTTTTGTCCACCAATACATAATCTAACAAACTACTTTCATTACGTGTTACATCATACCTTGTATATTTATTTATACTCTTTTTCATAAAATATGTATTACTTATTACCAAATCTCTTTCTACACATAGCTCAATTAAAGGTTCCCCATTTACATTTACCCCTGGCACCCCAAATTTACCTACTACTCCCTCCACAACATTTTTACCCACTTTAGCATTGAAATCTCCAAGCACAAGTACTCTCACACTTGTTTCGAAACTCCCCATGCACTCAATCGACATTTCCCAAAATCTCTCTCTCTCCTCTACATTTCTCTCTTCTCCAGGTGCATATACGCTTACTATAACCCACTTTTCACATCCAACCTTTATTTTACTCCACATAATCCTTGAATTAATACATTTATAGTCCCTCTTTTCCTGCCATATCTTATCCTTCAACATTATTGCTACTGCTCCTTTAGCTCTAACTCTATTTGAAACCCCTGATCTAATCCCATTTATTCCTCTCCACTGAAACTATCCCACTCCCTTCAGCTTTGTTTCACTTAAAGCCAGGACATCCAGCTTCTTCTCATTCATAACATCCACAATCATCTCTTTCTTATCATTTGCACATCCACGCACATTCAGACTTCCCACTTGACAATTTTCTTCTTCTTATTCTTTTTAGAAATCTTTACAGGAAAAGGGGTTACTAGCCCATTGCTCCCGGCATTTTAGCTGACTTCTACAACACGCATGGCTTACAGAGGAAAGATTCTTATTCCACTTCCCCATGGATATAAAAGGAAAAGTAATAAGACCAAGAACTATTAAGATAAAATCAAAGAAAACTCAGATGAGTGTGTATAAATAAACGTGTACATGTATGTGTAGTGTGACCTAAGTGTAAGTGTGTACATTATATATATATATATATATATTATTATATAGGTAGTAGGTTGGTAGACAGCAACCGCCCGGGGAGGTACTACCGTCCTGCCAAGTGAGCGTAAAACGAAAGCCTGTAATTGTTTTACATGATGGTAGGAGTGCTGGTGTCTTTTTTTCTGTCTCATGAACATGCAAGATTTCAGATATGTCTTGCTACTTCTACTTACACTTAGGTGTCACTACACATACATGTACAAGCACATATATACACACCCCTCTGGGTTTTCTTCTATTTTCTTTCTAGTTCTTATTCTTGTTTATTTCCTCTTATCTCCATGGGGAAGTGGAACAGAATTATTCCTCCGTAAGCCATGCGTGTTGTAAGAGGCGACTAAAATGCAGGGAGCAAGGGGCTAGTAACCTCTTCTCCTGTATATATTACTAAATGTAAAAGGAGAAACTTTTGTTTTTCCTTTTGGGCCACCCCGCCTCGGTGGGATACGGCGGGTGTGTTGAAAGAAAGAAAGATATATTATTATTATTATTATTATTATTATTATTATTATCATCACACTGGCCGATTCCCACCAAGGCAGGGTGGCCCGAAAAAGAAAAACTATCACCATCATTCACTCCATCACTGTCTTGCCAGAAGGGTGCTTTACACTACAGTTTTTAAACTGCAACATTAACACCCCTCCTTCAGAGTGCAGGCACTGTACTTCCCATCTCCAGGACTCAAGTCCGGCCTGCCGGTTTCCCTGAACCCCTTCATGAATGTTACTTTGCTCACACTCCAACAGCACATCAAGTATTAAAAACCATTTGTCTCCATTCACTCCTATCAAACACGCTCACGCATGCCTGCTGGAAGTCCAAGCCCCTCGCACACAAAACCTCCTTTACCCCCTCCCTCCAACCTTTCCTAGGCCGACCCCTACCCCGCCTTCCTTCATATATATACATACATACATAATATATATATATATATATATATATATATATATATATATATATATACATATATATATATATATATACATATATATATATATATATATATATATATATATACATATATATATATATATATATATACATATATATATATATATATATACATATATATATATATATATATATACATATATATATATATATATATATATATATATACATATATATACACACAACACACACACACACACACACACACCACACACACCTACCATCTGACTTACGACCTGCTCGACTTACGACCGTGTTTTTTATGCCAAATTTCTGGGAAATAAACAACTATTTGTGTTGTACACAGTGTTTATCCTAAACCTTACAGTATAAAATACAGTACTAACAACATAAAAAGTAAAGTAAAACATGAAATACAAAAATAAAACAATAAAATAAAGTCATTACAAAAATGTTTTGTTGACATTCAGTAGTAAAGTTCGACTTACAACCATTTCGACTTACGACCGGTTTCTCGGAACCGAACTCGGTCGTAAGTCGGATGGTAGGTGTATATATATATTGCTTTTATTGTTCATGTATAAGGTATGATACTACTCATTGCAATAAGGTTAGCACAAATTTACAAGTGCACAGAGTGGAGATTTTATATAACTATCTCTCAGCGATCTATAGAGCAGTGCTATGATTCATCTAACTGATGACTATCACTAGACTACTTTCGAGCACTCTATTTAGAACCAGTGTTTGCAGGCATTCGTTTAGGATTATGATTCAATCTCATGACAAGTTTAGTACCATACAGAGCCCAAAAAAAGTTCACACTGTAAAATTTAATCCACAAAGCATAAATCATAAACTGCTTCTTTTTAAAGCAAGTAAGAATAAGTATGTGATCTGGATGACAATAAATGAGAGACAAAAACCTGCCCACCAGTTACCATATCACAATAATTAATATACCCATATCTAATTAGTAAAAATGGTATATAATTTATTAAATATATTTTAATACACATTATGAAACATTTATGTTATAGTGTTGAGAACAGAACTAATTTTAGATACACTTTTTAATTACTTTTAGTTTGTATAAATGGTTTTAGGAAACTGACGTTTAATTTAAAGCTGTTGTGCAACTCTCACCTGGTAAAACAGGTAAAACACTAATTATATTCATGAGGAAGCACTAAGCCCGTAAGAGTTGCATGAACCTGGGGAACAGGAGGTAATCAAGTTTGACTGAAGAAAGAGGGTGGGTCCACCTATAACAAAAGCCTTCCACCAGTATAGTCATTTCCCCCTTGAATGAAATAAAACGAAGTCCAAAGGAATGTATCCAAGACTGATTTCCAAAATGAATGGAATGATCTACGAAGCATGCAAGCACAAGGCCATGCCTCTACAAGAGCAAAGAGGGGATATAATCACAACATACAAGATACTCCAGGGAACAGACAAGGTAGAAAAGAAGAGATATTTTGACACACTTAACCCTTTGACTGTAGCAGGCCCCTTTCTGAAACTGTCATTCTATGTCGATAAATTTTTTGAAAAAAAAAAAAAAAATCTTATGAAATGATAGGGAATCGTTTCCCGATGGTAATGACACCAATAGTTCGAAATTTGGTAGAAAACTCACGGAATTACGCTCCCGCGAAGTTAGCAGTCTCAGCGACATATACGTATCGGCGATTTTGCCGACTTTGAGCCCTGTTTTTAGCCAATTCCGTTGTTCCAGTTGACCAAACTCATAGCTATTTCTTTAGAACTCCATTTTATCTATCAGTTGAGTACAAGAAACCGCCCATTTACCGATTTGAACTACTCAATAAAGTGGTCAGAAATTGGCAATTTGGCCAATTTCACGCAAATAAAAAAAGATGCCAATTTCAAAATAGGGCCCAGAATAAACAAGGTAGACATTCTTGGTACTAAAATAACATATCCTCTTTTCATTAGTCACATCTCTAGGCCCCTGTTATATTATTATTGCTTTCTATTTTGATTTTTTATTCATACAAAAAATTTCAAAATTCACTGTTATGCAGACTACTGCATTATTGTAAAATTGGTATAAATAATATCAGTGCACTAGTGAAAGAATATTAGACTCCCCAGTTGATGTGTATTGGACGTGCGGTGTGATTTGCTTACTCCTGAACATTGGTAAAAATCAAACATTTCCGCTACTTTGAGCTCAGTTTCAAGGTCGTTTTCATCGTGGAAGTAATAAAAATCATCTCTATTTCTGTAATATGTTTTCCATTTTATCACCTAAGACCATGAAAATGCGAATACAACGATAAATACTATACATAAACAGTCAAAGGGTTAAACAGTTCAATACCGAGAAAACCTACACAGGCTGAAGGAACAGACATAATATGTCTGGGTAAAATTTGTGAGACCTAAAAAGTTGATGTTTAGGTGCTATATTAAACCCTGAACTTGGAAAGTGTGTCTTTGGGGCAAAACTGTTATGGATTCAAAGACAAGAGAAGAACAATGGCATGGTTGGAAATTACTCTCCCAAATAAGTCACAGGAATATCAAAAGAAACATTTCAGCATAAAAATGGAATGAACTGAACCATGGCACAGTGGATGCAGACCTCATATGAAGTTGGAATATGATTTGCCCTTCAAAACAAGTACAAGATGTGCTACAAAATGACTCCCAAAGTTAAGAAAGATGAAGACTGGAAACAGAAGAATACCCTCAATGGCAGACAGTAGGAGTTTCTACAACCAAACATAAGATCATAAAAAGTGCAGTAAATAGAAAAGGAAGGTTTTATCTCCTCACCTTCAGCATACAAAATGTAAACAACAAAAAAAAAAGTGATGACAAAAGGACATCAGAAAAATTTTTTCATAAAGACTGCTGGGAAGGATCTAGAAAAAAAAAATTGTATGATTTACATTTAAGGGAAACCTTAAAAAAAAAAAAAAAATTATGATGAACTAAACACAAATGCTCATCACAAGCATTGCTCTGCGGCTGTGACTGTACGACCCACAGGAGTTTAGTACTTCCTCTTGAATATGCAATAATAATATTCTCTTCTTGTAGCTACAAATAGGTACAATAATGAAGAACACACAGTAAACACTCACACTCATGTGTTGCTCTTGCCCATATAAACTGAGACACCAGAAAATATTTCTCTATTACTTGTAAAGGTTAATTCTTACTTTTCACATTTTACTTACCTTTGTTCCAGTAATGAGTGAGTGTGTGCAAAATAGTGACCCAATTTTCAAGTACTTTCTATGCCTACATTCTAAATTGTATAGCTAAAATATTTAAGGCAATTTTAATACTTCATTTGGCCAATCTACATTAGCAGTAAACTTATCTATAATCACAAATGTCACAAAATACATTTGTTGAACTTTTGTTTCCAATGATCAGATCATTACAGGTACTGCTGAAGGTATTGGTCAATGTTATTAAGCCAAAATTCTCTCCTGAAAATGGAGGATATGTTTATATTAACGGCCTAAATTCTCAACTTCCAAGTAAGCAGAAGCAAGGAGTACATGGATCACCATGCATGGCTAACACACACACACACACAGCAGTGCTTAGTTAAGCCTCTGTACATTGTGACCACCAAGATGGTGGTCACGGACTAGGCACCATGGCCTGGTCCACGACCAGCCCAGCACAGCCACATTCATGAAAAACTATTTATTGAAAGGGCAGAAAGGAAATTTTTAAATTTACACTGCACTGGAACTAAGAGATCATTCAGTGGTCTTCTCAATAAAAGGGTACATGAGTGCATGTGCACACACTCACACAGCTTTAATTAAGAGGTATGATACAGCTCATGGAGCAGGAAGGGAGTGACCTAGTAGTGACCAGTGAAGAGGTGGACGCCTGTGATGAGTGGGGTTCCACAGGGGTCAGTCCTAGGACCGGTGCTGTTTCTGGTATTTGTGAACGGCATGACGGAAGGAATAGACCCTGAAGTGTCTCTGTTTGCAGATGATGTGAAGTTGAAGAGAAGAATTCAATTGGATGAGAACTAGGCATAACTACAAAGGGATCTGGACAGGCTGCAGGCCTGGTTCAGCAATTGGCTCCTGGAGTTCAATCCCGCCAAGTGCAAAGTCATGAAGATTGGGGAAGGGCAAAGAAGATCGTAGATGGAGTAGTCTAGGGGGCCAGAGACTACAAACTTCACTCAAGGAAAAAGATCTTGAGGTGAGTACAACACCAGGCACATCTCCTGAGGTGCACATCAACCAAATAACTGCTGCAGCATATGGGTGCCTAGAAAACCTAAGAACAGCATTCCTCCATCTTAATAAGGAATCGTTCAGGACCCTGTACACTGTGTACGTTAGGCCCATATTGGAGTATGCAGCACCAGTTTGGAACCCACATCTAGCCAAGCACGTAAAGAAACTGGAGAAAGTGCAAAGGTTTGCAACAAGACTAGTCCCAGAGCTAAGGGGTTTGTCCTGCAAGGAGAGGTTAAGCAAGATCGACCTGACGACACTGGAGGACAAGAGAGATAGGAAGGACATGATAACATATAAAATACTGAGAGGAATTGACAAAGTGGACAGACACATAACGTTCCAGAGATGGGTCACAGCAACAAGGGGGGACAGTTGAAAAGTTGAAGACACAGATGAATCACAGGATGTTAAGAAGTATTTCTTCAGTCACAGAGTAGTCAGGAAGTGGAATAGTTTGGGAAGCGATGTAGTGGAGGCAGGATCCATTCATAGCTTTAAGCAGAGGTATGATTAGGCTCATGGTGCAGGGAGTGTGACCCAGTAGCGGCCAGTGAAGAGGCGGGGCCAGGAGCTATGCCTCGACCCCTGCAACCACAACTAGGTGAGTAGAAACAAACACACACACACACACACACACACACACACACACATACACACGTTGAAAATAATGTTATTAGTTACTGTGAGAACGTATACTTCTCTCACACACACCTGAGAACAGCGTTCCGATACCTTAGTAAGGAATCGTTCAAGACACTGTACACCGTGTACGTCAGGCCCATACTGGAGAATGCAGCACCAGTTTGGAACCTGCACTTGATCAAGCACGTCAAGAAATTAGAGAAAGTGCAAAGGTTTGCAACAAGGTTGGTTCCAGAGCTAAGGGGAATGTCCTATGAAGAAAGGTTAAGGGAAATCAGCCTGACGACATTGGAGGACAGGAGGGTCAGGGGAGACATGATAACGACATATAAAATACTGCATGGAATAGACAAGGTGAACAAAGACAGGATGTTCCAGGGAGGGGACACAGAAACAAGAGGTCACAATTGGAAGTTGAAGACTCAGACGAGTCAAAGAGATGTTAGGAAGTATTTCTTCAGTCATAGATTTGTGAGGCAGTGAAATAGACTAGAAAGTGACGTAGTGGAGGCGGGAACCATACATAGTTTTAAGACAAGGTTTGATAAAGCTCATGGAGCAGGAAGAGAGAGGACCCAGTAGCAACCAGAGAAGAGGTGGGGCCAGGAGCTAAGAATCGACCCCTGTAACCACAACCACAAATAGGTGAGTGCAAATAGGTGAGTACACACACACACACACACACACATGCACACACACACAGTTTGGAATCCACACCTAGTCAAGCACGTCAAGAAATTAGAGAAAGTGCAAAGGTTTGCAACAAGACTAGTCCCAGAGCTACGGGGATTGTCCTATGAAGAAAGGTTGAGGGAAATCGGCCTGACGACACTGGAGGCCAGGAGGGTCAGGGGAGACATGATAACGACATATAAAATACTGCGCGGAATAGACGAGGTGGACAAAGACGGGATGTTCCAGAGATGGGACACAGACACAAGAGGTCACAATTGGAAGTTGAAGACTCAGATGAATCAAAGGGATGTTAGGAAGTATTTCTTCAGTCATAGAGTAGTCAGGCCATGGAATAGCCTAGAAAGTGATGTGGTGGAGGCAGGAACCATACATAGTTTTAAGGCGAGGTATGATAGAGCTCATGGGGCAGGGAGAGAGAGGACCTAGTAGCAATCAGCGAAGAGGCGGGGCCAGGAGCTGTGACTCGACCCCTGCAACCACAAATAGGTGAGTACAAATAGGTGAGTACACACACACACACACACGGGCCTAGTGTCTAATCAACATGTGCCTAGTACAAAATGCTAACACATACATACATACATACACACACACACACACACACACACACACACACACACACTCACACAGGGGAGACATGATAACGACATACAAGATACTGCGGGGAATAGACAAGGTGGACAGAGATAGGATGTTCCAGAGAGGGGACACAGAAACAAGGGGTCACAACTGGAAGCTGAAGACTCACACGAGTCACAGGGACGTTAGGAAGTATTTCTTCAGTCATAGAGTCGTCAGGAAGTGGAACAGCCTAGCAAGTGAAGTAGTGGAGGCAGGAACCATACATAGTTTTAAGAAGAGGTATGACAAAGCTCAGGAAGCAGAGAGGGAGAGGACCTAGTAGCGATCAGTGAAGAGGCAGGGCCAGGAGCCAAGTCTCGACCCCTGCAACCACAATTAGGTGAATTAGGTGAGTACACCTAAAGTCAGTTCCGGATCAGCCGGGCTGTGGCTCGTATGTTGGTTTGCGTGCAGCCAGCAGCAACAGCCTGGTTGATCAGGCTCTGATCCACCAGGAGGCCTGGTCTCAGACCGGGCCGCGGGGGCGTTGACCCCCGGAACTCTCTCCAGGTAAACATACACACACACACACACACACACACACACACACACACACACCTGGACAGGCTACAAGCCTAGTCCAGCAACTGGCTCCTTGAGTTTAACCCCGCCAAATGCAAAGTCATGAAGATTGGGAAAGGGCAAAGAAGACCGCAGACACAATATAGTTTAGATGGCCAAAGTCTGCAAATCTCACTCAAGGAAAAAGATCTGGGGGTGAGTATAACACCGAGCATATCTCCTGAGGCGCACATCAATCAGATAACTGCTGCAGCATACGGGCGCCTGGCAAACCTACGGATAGCGTTCCGATACCTCAGTAAGGAGCCGTTCAAGACTCTGTATACCATTTACGTCAGGCCCATACTGGAGTATGCAGCACCAGTTTGGAATCCACACCTAGTCAAGCACGTCAAGAAATTAGAGAAAGTGCAAAGGTTTGCAACAAGGCTAGTCCCAGAGCTACGGGGATTGTCCTACGAAGAAAGGTTGAGGGAAATCGGCCTGACGACACTGGAGGCCAGGAGGGTCAGGGGAGACATGATAACGACATATAAAATACTGAGCGGAATAGACGAGGTGGACAAAGACGGGATGTTCCAGAGATGGGACACAGACACGAGAGGTCACAATTGGAAGTTGAAGACTCAGATGAATCAAAGGGATGTTAGGAAGTATTTCTTCAGTCATAGAGTAGTCAAGCCGTGGAATAGCCTAGAAAGTGAAGTAGTGGAGGCGGGAACCATACATAGTTTTAAGGCGAAGTATGATAAAGCTCATGGAGCAGGGAGAGAGAGGACCTAGTAGCAATCGGTGAAGAGGCGGGGCCAGGAGCTATGTTCGACCCCTGCAACCACAAATAGGTGAGTACAAATAGGTGAGTACATCCCCACACACACCCCTGTTTGGAACCCACACTTGATCAAGCACGTCAAGAAATTAGAGAAAGTGCAAAGGTTTACGACAAGGTTAGTTCCAGAGCTAAGGGGAATATCTACGATGAAAAGTTAAAGGAAATCGGCCTGATGACACTGGAGGACAGGAGGGTTAGGAGAGACATGATAACGACATATAAAATACTGCATGGATAGACAAGATGGACAGAGACAGGATGTTCCAGAGAGGGGACACAGAAACAAGGGGTCACAATTGGAAGTTGAAGATTCAGATGAGTCAAAGGGAAGTTAGGAAGCATTTCTTCAGTCATAGAGTTGTCAGGTAGTGGAATAGCCTAGAAAGTGACGTAGTGGAGGTGGGAACCATACATAGTTTTAAGGCAAGGTTTGATAAAGCTCATGGAGCAGGGAGAGAGAGGACCTAGTAGCAATCAGTGAAGAGGCAGGGCCAGGAGCTATGACTCGACCCCTGCAACCACAAATAGGTGAGTACAAATATATGAGTGTATACACACACACACACACACACACACACACACACACACACACAAAAAAAAAAAAAAAAAAAAAAAACAGGCCTAGTGTCTAATCAACATGTGCCTAGGACAAAATGGTAACTAACACACACACACACAAGCTATAACCCCCAAAATCACACTAACAAGCACACATTAATCACTCTTCTAATATCAGAGTTAAATATCCAAAGTCAATTTAAAACACACCATGTCAATAACACCAAAAGAATCCCTGAAAATTTGCCCAAGGTTTCTACATGCACCTAGGTGGTCATAAAATGCTACTGAACTCGATTGTAAGCCATTAAAATATGCCAGTCAGTAGTATACCACAAGATGCACAGAAAAGAGCAAGATCACCAGTAAGCATGTGTCATATCCTCAGTCTAAAGAGAATCATCTCGAAGTGAAAATCCTTGCATTTGCTGTATGTCCACTGGGCTGCAGCCTCCCATTTAAAAACTAATCTATGTAGCCCAAGAGGTCACTATGAAGCAGAAGGCTATTATAGTGTGGTCTCAATACCCACTTAATTATTACCTTGGAAACCAACAAGTGGGACTCTGTGCTCACTCTGGGAGCCCAATATCCTTAACCTGGATATGAAGATGGGTACAGCACTCCTGAAACTTTTAGAACACCATGTGTGAAGAATTTATTGAAAATAGTAATGTGGAGATGAATAAAATGTAACTGACCACCAAGTGGGCCCTGAAGTGCAACTATAGCCAGAAAAATATATTCAAGAAGAGAAGAGGCACTCAGTTTGCTTGTGGCCAATAAACTTACTATCCAATACACAAATGCAGTAAACCTTAAGTTGGAGCAAATTATTTGTATACCTGCATTTACTTTGTCATACTTTTCCTACATTCACAGGGTTTGTCTCCTTTCTTCATTCCTTCAGCTTGGTCTTTTCAGCAAATAAGCAGGGTTATGTGACCTCATTAATTAATATACAAACTTCACTGCTAGGACAACTTGCAAAAACTATCAGTTTGTACCTAAACTAACAAAATAGTCAAAATGCTATTTTGTCACCAGCAACTGAGGATAAACAAATGCCCAATTACCAAAATGAACAACATCTTTCTTGTACCTTTGCACTGCATGACCCTAGTAGGTTTAGCACTTTGTTTTTTATTATAAGAATAATACCTGTACCTTTGCAAACTAAACATGAACTAGTATTATTATTGCAATGAACCAATAAACCTGTAAAGCTTATACAGCACCTATGAAAAAGAAGGTAATCAGGCATGAGTAAGGATGGTTCCAATTCCTAGGATCAAAAACCTTTACCAGTATCAAGACCCCCTCCCCCCCAAGAAGGGACTATATGAGAAAAAGAAATGGTTTATCATCACACTGAAACTTGCATATTTTCCCATCTAACACATATCTCATACATCATATTCTTGAACACAACATTTTTAATTAGGGAGGAAGTGCTAAACCATAGTGGACATACAGCACCTGGGGAATGGGAGGAATTCTAGCTCAGTCCATAGGAAGACTAGATCAAGGTCCTTGGATTATGAACCCTTACTGGCATGAAGGTACCTCTCTTGAGACGAAAAAAGACTATACACTTGCATTCATCACACAAATTTGAACTAAAAGAATATACATTTTAAACCATTATTTATCTACACACAATAGTCACTCATATCACTTGTTTTAATCTTCATATTTTTTAAATGTCATCTAGAATTTAGAGTTTGGTACACTGTTTAGAGAGCAGATATCACAAAAGAGCACTTATAATTGTATAATGGTTATATGCATTTCTTAATCTTACTCCAAAACACATTTTGAGATAGTCTGACCTAATATAGAAAAGGCACAAGTTACTTGACACACAAATGTTTGAAAACAAAAGTTTTTTAAGTGGATCTTAAGAAGACAGAGTGCATTACAAAAACATTATGGGTAAACATCTTAGTGGTAGACAATGAATACCTCCATAATGGATAATAAGAAACTTACAGTACATTACAAAAAGTATCTCATGGAAAAATATCTCGGTGGTAGACAATGAGTGCCTCCACAACTCTTGGTTCTTGAGCGGTGTTTGCTAAGGCAAGCAAATCTGCTGGTCGAATATCATCACCAAAGGCAATAGATTGGATGAGTGTGGGTGCAAAGACTGTGCTCAGGCTGGTAGCACTCATCTTATTCACTGCACAATGTTCATACACCCTGGAAAAAACATTACAATAAATTCTCCTTTTATGCACTTACATATTACTGTACATTCTCTTTCTCCTATACATAAATGACCTACCAAATGCTTCGCAATTACTCAAACCCACACTATTTGCAGATGACACTACATACGTCTTCTCCCACCCGAGCCCAGTCACGCTAGCCAATACTGTAAATACCGAATTACAGAAAATATCTACCTGGATGAGAACTAACAAACTTACACTAAACATTGACAAAACCTACTTCATTCAGTTTGGTAACAGAGCTACAGATGTCCCTCTTAACATAATGATAAACGGATCACCTATCACAAAGCTAACAGAGGGAAAATTCTTAGGAATCCACCTTGATAATAGACTCAAATTTCATACACATATACAACAAATTTCTAAGAAAATTTCCAAGACTGTAGGCATACTATCGAAGATACGGTACTATGCTCTACAGTCAGCCCTCCTGGCCCTATATCACTCTCTTATTTACCCCTATCTCACCTATGGAATTTGTGCATGGGGCTCAACAACAAGTAACCATCTCAGACCACTAATTACCCAACAAAAGGCTGCAGTTAGAATGATAACAAATTCTCACTATAGGCAGCACACTCCACCAATATTCAATACACTAAACCTCCTCACCATACAAAACATCCATACTTACTACTGCACCTATTACATACATAGAACACTTAACTCTGATATTAACCCTCCCCTCAAACATCTCCTTGCCAACCTCAACAGAACACATGACCATAACACAAGGCACAGATCACTCTTTGATGTTCCTCGTGTCCATCTCACACTATGTAAAAACTCAATGCACATAAAAGGCCCTAAAATCTGGAATTCATTACCTGTAAATATAAAAGAAACACTACCTGTTTATAAATTCAAGTCTCTTCTCAAAGATCACTTACTCACCCAAAACCAAATAAATACTGAATAACTGAACCTTATAAATTGTATATCTTAAATGTTTCTCACAATTATATCACATAAATGTTAAACCTAAAACCCAATCTAACTTTATTATTTTTTAAATACACTACCTAACAGAATACTCCATTCTAGTGAATGTACAACAATGCATACAACCATATGACCTGTCTTTGTAATACTCACTTGTGCTTTATAGTAACCTGTTTACATTAATGTTTTATCACTGATTTCATCATTGCTTAGTTAATCTTAAGTTAATTTTAAGCCAGCCCGTAATGCTATGCATAGTATAAGTGGCTTTGGCATACTGCTCTTACCTGTATTTGTTGTACCTCTGTATGTGTGCTCAAATTTTTAAATAAATAAATACTGCTCTTACATGTTTTATTTTAAACTGTACAATACCAGAATGGTAATTTTAATCAATAAATGGTCACACACTCCCATTACCTGCTCTATCATACCAAATCAATCCATGGATCCACATATTAATAATACATAGCCACCTCCTGGAAGAAATATTAATATAAAAAAAATTCATAACATGGATTAGGACTGATACACAGAATACTAGCTCAGCTCCTTATTAGCTTCATAATTACCCAAGGATCTAGAAAATACTAGTAACCTCCTACAAAACTTCCTGTCTAGGTTCTCACAGTAATAACCATATCTCTTCTTGGATGCTTTTATAAGATCATTGAAGGATTCTCTATATATCCTTGAAGGATTCTTGATATTAGATCCTTGAAGGATTCTTTATATGATTCTTGAAGGATTCTTAATATTAGATCCTTAATAGCACCACAAAAAAGTAAGACAAACAAAATGGTCAAGTGCTTAAATCTCGGTGGAGATCCGTAACAAGTGGCATTTCACAGGGATCAGTTCTAGGCTCATTGTTGTTTATATATATAAATGACCTTGATGAAGAAATTATGTACTAGTGATATGAACAAATTCGCTGATGACACGAAGATAAGTAGAATAACTGATTCATATGTAGATGTCACAGAACTTCAGGAGGATTTAGACAAACTCAATTCCTGGTTAGAAAAGTGGCAGATGCAATTCAATGTAGATTTATAACCTTAGCACTTATCAGCTAAATAATGTAGAACTTAGTCATACAGAATGCAAAAAAGACTCGAGGTTATGGTAAGTAGCAACCTTAAACCAAGACAGCAATGCCTAAACGTACATAATAAGGCAAATGGATTGGAAAAATAAACACATAAGCAGTATAATGTGATCCCTTATTGACAATGGTTCGCCCACGCAGTGGGCTTTATCAAGTCACAAACAGATCTACCTGGGTGAAATGTATGTGAGTATTTATAGGATGGAGTCAGGTGGATAATGCCGAGTAGGTTGGATCTACTGGGATTTATATCAAGAAGTGTGATCAACAGAAGTCCAGTGGTTATACTACATCATTAGTAAGACCTCACTTATATTACGCAGCTCAGTTCTGGTTTCCATATTATAGAATGGATATAAATCCATTAGAAAACATTCAGCGAAAATTGACAAAATAAACACATAGCATTAGAAATCTTCCATATGAAGAAATATTGAAGACCCATAAATTACATTCACTTTTAAGATGAAGAATGAGGGAAGACATGATCAAAGTGTATAAGTGGAAGATGGGTATTAACAAAGGGGATATAAATAAGGTCTTGAGGATATCTCTCCAAGAGACAGAACTCGCAATAATGGATTCAAATTAGACAAGTTTAGATTTAGAAAGGATATACGAAAGTATTGGTTTGGAAACAGGTTAGCTGATGAGTGGAACAGTCTGCCTAGTATAGTTATTGAAGCTAAAACCTTGGGTAGTTTCAAATTTAGGTTGGAAAATACATGAGTGAAAGTGAAAGGGGTTGGATCTGAGTGGAACTTGCACATGAGTAAATAGAATTATCAAAGTTTATTGCTTGGGTAGCACTGAAAATTGGGTTGGGCAAATATTCTGTTAGTGGGACAGATTGTGAAGGACCTGCCTAGTATGGGCCAACAGACAAGCCTGCTGCAGTGGTCTTCCTTTATGTTCTTATATTAGATCTTTGGAGGATTCTTAACATTAGATCCATGGAGGATTCTTAACATTAGATCCATGGAGAATTCTTAACATTAGATCCATGGAGGATACTTAGCATTAGATCCATGGAGGATTCTTAACATTAGATCCATGGAAGATTCTTAACATTAGATCCATGGAGGATTCTTAACATTAGATCCATGGAGGATTCTTAACATTAGATCCATAGAGGATTCTTAACATTAGATCCATGGAGGATTCTCAACATTAGATCCTTGGAAGATTCTTAACATTAGATCCATGGAGGATTCTTAACATTAGATCCTTGGAGGATTCTTAACATTAGATCTTTGCAGGATACTTAACATTAGATCCTTGGAGGATTCTTACCATTAGATCTTTGAAGGATTCTTTACATTAGATCCCTGAAGGATTCTTTATATTAGATCCTTGAAGGATTCTTTATATTAATGCTCCAAGGATTCTTTAGATTAGAGCCTTGCAGGATTCTTTACACTAGATCCTTGTAGGATTCTTTACAATAGAGCCTTGCAGGATTCTTTACAATAGAGCCTTGCAGGATTCTTTACACTAGATCCTTGTAGGATTCTGTACAATAGAGCCTTGCAGGATTCCTTACACTAGATCCTTACAGGATTCTTTACAATAGATCCTTGGAGGATTCTTTACCTACCATACAATGTTTCACAACATGTGACTGAACTGAAAATTAGCAGGGTGTTTTTTTTTTTTCCAACAAGTCGGCGGTCTCCCACCGAGGCAGGGTGACCAAAAAAGAAAGAAAATCCCCAAAAAGAAAATACTTTCATCATCATTCAACACTTTCACCTCACTCACACATAATCACTTTTTTTGCAGAGGTGCCCAGAATACAACAGTTTAGAAGTATATACGTATAAAAATACACAATATATCCCTCCAAACTGCCAATATCCCAAACCCCTCCTTTAGAGTGCATGCAGTGTACTTCCCATTTCCAGGACTTAAGTCCAGTTATATAAAATAACCGGTTTCCCTGAATCCCTTCACTAAATACAGTGGTCCCTCAATAATCGTCCGGCCTGAAAGTCGTCCATTTCGGCCTTTCCTTCCCAGCCAGTGTGCCATTGTTTACCAGTGAGCGACAGTCCCCTCACGTGCTCCAGCAAAATATTTAAAAATATTTCATTTATTTTAGTGCTTGCAAGTTATTTAAGTACTAATTAAGCTATCATGGCTCCAAAGAAAGCTCCTAGTGTCAAGCCTTTGGTAAAGAAGGTGAGCAATATGATTGAATTTAAGAAAAACATCATTGAACAATATGATAGTGGCGTACGTGTGGGCGAACTGGCCAGGATGTATAACAAATCCCGTACAACCATATCTTCCATCATAGCCAAGAAAAAGGAAATCAAGGATGCTGTTGTTGCAAAGGGGGTAAATATGCTGACAAAAATGAGATCACCAGTACTCGAAGATGTTGAGAAGTTATTATTGGTGTGGATAAATGAGAAACAATTAGCAGGAGACAGTCTTATGATGTCGCTTATTTGTGAAAAGGCTAGGCAGTTGCATGAAGATTTGGTAAAGAAATTGCCTGCAACTAGTGATGATGTGAGTGAATTTAAGGCCAGCAAAGGCTGGTTTGAGAGATTTAAGAAGCGTACTGGCATTCACAGTGTGGTAAGGCTTGGTGAGGCTGCCAGTTCGGACCACAAGGCGGCTGAAAAATATGTGCATGAATTCCAGGAGTACATAGAGGCTGAAGGACTGAAACCTGAACAAGTGTTCAATTGTGACGAAACAGGCCTCTTTTGGAAGAAAATGCCAAAGAGGACCTTCATTACACAAGAGGAAAAGGCAATGCCAGGACACAAGCCTATGAAAGAAAGGCTGACGCTAATGTTCTGTGCTAATGCTAGTGGGGATTTCAAAGTGAAGCCATTACTAGTGTACCATTCTGAAAACTCCAGTGTGTTCAGGAAAAACAATGTTATGAAGAGTAAATT